GAATAACGGTTGTGTTGCTTCAAAAGACAAAAAGCACATCTAACTAAAGAGGGATATATGTGTAAACCCAAAATGTTTGTGTATTGTATCGCAAAGTAAACCCAAAATGTTTGTGTATTGTATCGCAAAGTAAACCCAAAAGGTGTTTCTTTTAAGTACTTAAAATTACGGAATCAAGTTTTTTTTTTAATGCAGAAATTTCATGTGAAAATGCATCAAATAATTTCCTAAAACATTGAACTAGTTTATTAATGCCCACTCTTATAGCATACTCGAACTCTTAATCACTATGACTCAATGGAGTTCATATTTTACTTACTAAATTCAAATAATTTGATATTCACATGCACAAATTCAAAGGAAAATAGTACACTCAATGTGACGCCCCCACTTCTTTCAAGGGCGAATCCAAGGATATTCGCGGAACGCCTGCCCAACTCTAGTCAGAACTCAATACAAGTCAATTCCAAGCTTAAAGGTACGCAACCAATAAATAAAAGTCGAAATGCAGAAAAGTCGCTTTCTTAATGGAACATTCAAATCTTACATCAACTTTTCCCCAAAATGCAACCACTATGAGTCGACTAGTCAATTACATCCCAAAATTTTAATCAGAAGTAAACAAGTCGGCTCTCCCCAAAATTCTTTCCATTCCGAGCTCCTGTTAAGGAAAAACAAACTAATGGGATGAGCTGACGCTCAGTGAGACCAAAAAAAACATGCAAATACATAGTTCACATACCCATGACATTTGTACGAAAATTAAAATAAGAAAATTCAAGTAATTCACAAATAATAATAACACACATTCAATAAGGATACAGGAGCTCTCAGGAGTTAGGTTCCACATGTTTCGCCAAGGCTCGATCAAATACTTTCCCGCGATGACACTCCGTCAACCGGGTAGGTATTAAGTGCGTAAAACTCCACTTACTCTGCTCTCCTGTTCACCGTTACACCCTTGCTCTGGGCCCGCACTTCTTTTATAAAAGGCACTACTCCACGAGTATGTCAAGCGAGATCTCTTAATAGATCAAGCTTTTGATTATCTCATGGTTCACCGAGCTTCGCGAGCAAGCCCATGCTGGCTCGAATCGCAAGGTCGGTCAATTGAGATTTAGGCGTCCCCCGATTATTATTATGAGTCGATGAGATTCACTCCAATCGACAAATACAATTATAAGCCGATGAGATTCACTCCAATCGGCATGTTCAACCACAAATATAAATTCAACTATGAGCAATTCAATTGTATAATCAATTAAAAGAGAACGAGTGCGATAAAGTACACACTTGACTCGACAATTGTAAATCAGATAATCAATAAGAAGCAATTCACATAATTGGCAACTATTCATGCACTTGACACTCACCAATTCAAAATAAGTGAGTAAGTGCAAATAAGATCTTTAGTGGTCAGCTCCGAGGTTCTCTTCAAAATTCTCTTGAGTGCCTGAAGAAATAACATTTAACTATCACTCACAAATATTTACAAACCCCTTGCCAAATAAGGAAGAATGTATACTTGCGTAATATTAAGACAACGTCTTAAAAGAGTTTTAATATCTCGAAAATCGAGATTCAAAAGTGAGAATTTAAAGTCACAAGACAAACTTGCATCCTTCATGAAAATGAGTTTAAAACGGATGATCGATATCGAAAGACAATGAAAAGTTCTCAAAACTCATTTCCCAAGAAATCATGAATTTTCAGCTTTGCGCGATAAATTTTGTAAAATCAGATCTGGAGTTCAGTATGACCAAAAATGGAAAAATTTATACCGTTGTAAACTAAATTCAAAGTACTAAAAGTTTCTAGAAAACACTTTTCCAAGATTCTAAACGGAGAACCTTCATATTTCAGCTCAAATTTGCTGATTGAAGAAGGTAAGACAGAACCAGTCTTGGTTTTCGGCGATATTTGGAAATTCGGAAAAATTCACAAAAAATGAATCAGCCTTTGAAATTTGTAACACAATAAGAGTCCTATACAAAGTTTCAAGCACAACAAACGGAACAAAATTCGGAGTTTTGAACAACAAGATATAACAGTTTAAATTCGGTTGATTTTTGTAATCTGATCAGTGAATTTTCAGATTTGAGAAGCAATGTTTGGGGCATTATTTGGGCATCGAAATGGTATTGAAATTATACCAAATTTGGTACACTTAAACCTCCATATGTGGACTACCTCTCTATCAAAGTTTAGATTGAAACTCACACGGGAAGGTAGTTAACGAAACGACCAAAGTTTGCGAAATGTTTCAAAGCTAATCTGCCACCCTACTTCTCTTTCTTTTTCAAACGTTTTGTCCAACGAAGCCAGCCCCAATTCGCTCCATTTTTTAAACCAAGATCCCAAAAACATTTAATAAGCAATTTATGGTTAAATAAGACTAAAATTTTGGAAATATAATATCCCAAAACAGATTTTACCATTTGGTCAGCAAGGAAGGGAAAAGTTTCCAGTTTCCAGTTCTGTCGCATTTCCGAAATCAAACCATATCTAGCTCTGTACAACTCCAAATTGAGAATGGTTTACGGCATTGGAAACTAGGTTCCAAATTCTACAATTCATCAGGAGACATCATTTTGAAAATATTTTCACAAATGGGACAAAATCAAGCCACAAGATGCAGCTTCCCAGTTTCATTCGAACAGACAGTCAAAACAGAACAGCCAACTTTTTGGACTCATTACGGTTCACTCAAAATGAACTACAGGGGATTTTTATACCGTTGGAAAGCTATGAATGTCTAGTTTTGAATGCTAATTTTGAATTTTATAAAAAGAGTTATGTTCGGACAAAGAAGTACTGTCCGAGTACCCTACTATGTGTTTTCCAGATTTGAATCTTCACCAAAACTAAAGTTTTGCACAACCATTCAATACAATTTTTGAAAGGCACTTTGTACACACAATATACAACATATATCCATCAATTTCACAGCCAACCAAGCATCAAAATTTCGAAATAAAAACAGAACAACATGGACAGAATTTTCGGCCGGCTTGCCTTCACAATTTTCCTTCGATTTCTCTCCACTTTCTAACCATAAACATCTCATTTATCACATAAACAACCATAATCAAACAATCAAGCCTCAAGTCAGATATCTAGAGGCCTCATCAAGACAGCTAACCTATGATTTAAAGCGAGAGAAATGGTTCCTCAAGTCCGCTAGGCTATAAACGCGATTAGGGTTTCAAACCCATGAAAATTAACCGTTAAACTTCTTATAATTTGAAAGGTTAAAGACGTTGAGTGCTTACCCTTTAAAACCTTGAAAAAAACCAGATTTTCCACCGAAATTTCCTCCAAGAAATTCCACAAGATTGCTTCTTTCTCCAAGATAGAATGAATCTCCAAGAAACTAGAAAGTTGGATGATGATTTGTAGACAAAATGGAAGCCAAAAGAAATGGAGTTCTCTTCCTCCCTTTCTTTTCTTGCTGTTGGCCGAAAATGGAGAGAGAGAAATGTGAGAGTTTGTGGCTTGTCTTGGAAGATTGGAGGGAAAAGCAGCTAGAAAGATTTGCCAAAAAGTCAACTTTGAATAGTTGTCGGAATAAGGTTTCGTACAACCTCTTTTTCTCTCGGGTTTGATACACTCATGCACTAATCCTCCAAGATACGCCCTTTAACATTATAATTACTCACTCTTACTAGTCTAGTATTAATTTCTCAAATCTCCACTTAGTCATTCTGACGCGAAATACGCAAACTTTCGACTCGTGTGCGATAAAAGCTTAATTTGAACTCACTCACCTCTAATCCCTCAATTAACTTTTCTTAGTCTACTATTGATCATTCTTAATTCTCCAAGATAATTGCACTCTCGGATCGAATATTGTCTCGAAAAATGTGTATTCGCTATTCCATACTAGACGAGCCGCAGAAAAATTAAATTTGTTTTAAAAATATAAGTAAGGCATTGTTCCATGTAAATAGATTTAAAATGGTTGAAATAAATTATTCGAAGTAAACAGTTGAATAAATAATTAAAAAACCAGTAAAATAAGATAAAAGTAAGTAAATTTTCGGGTCCTCACACTCAAAGCCTTAAGTTTAGGAAGAAAAAACAAAAATAATTCGCGCCAAAAATAGTTTAGGAATGATTTCAGCAAGACACGTAAAAGAATAAGTAGAAATGGAAAAATGTGTTCAATCCACAATGTTTAGAAATCCCGATTACAAGTTAAAACTTACCATTCTTACTAAAATTAGTTCTTTTAAAAAAAAAAAAGCAGAATACATTTTCTTCTGCTGTACTTTTTCTCCAAGGTAATATTTTTATCTTCATCAAAATAGTTCATCTCAAAGCACGGTCTGAAATGCAATATACGTCTTTTACTTTTAATTTATATCAAATATTTTGAACACAAAAACATAATTTTCATTTTTTTTAACACGAGAAGGAGTTTTTTTTTTAATCGAACTTTATCACTCCTTTCATGTCCTTATTTCTTTTGGCTCCTAATGAAAGTTTTCTCGCATTGGAGGATCAAACCCTTAGCTATGTCGATGAAGGAAACTTTCTTGAACTGTTATTTTCATTGTGTTGGAATATATGCTGTTATTTTTCACATCATGTTTAGCATATTTATTACTCAATGGTCTCCTTTGCCTTATTCTTTATCTGCAACTTTTTCTTTGTCGCCTATTTGGTTGGACTTATGCCTTAATCAAAAGTTCAGTCGTATTTTGCATGCTTTTGCTTATCGTGCTTTTACAACTATTCTAGCCTAAGACAATACAATCTCCAGAATTTGCATGTTTCTTGTTTATCTTTGCTTCAACAACCATTTTAGTTTAAGATAACATTCTTTAGACCCACAAATAATACTCTCTCCACTCTCTTAGGTCTTTTATTTTGTTCGTGCCACTTTTTTTTTTTTTTTTTTTTTTCAGTTTTAATGTTTTGGAACTTCAATTTGTCATTTTTTTCCTGTGTCTTTATCAGAAGTACAAGCACTTTTGCACATGAAAAGGATCAACTAGTTTGATCAACCATACTGTAGTAGCCCGTGACAAGATTCTGTCTGAAATGTGTTTGCCAACGATAGCTTACATGTCTATGATGGTAGCACCCCACTTCCCAAACTCTTCACAACTTTTGTGAAGAACAAAACTTGAAGCTCAAAGGTTTTCCCGCTCCACAACAAGAATGCTATTAATTATTTAATTCCATGGTACAAACTGACATAAAACCTATACAACTTACAGTGCATTGCGTGGATACATTACAGAGAACCTAAGGTGACTGGTTCAAAGGGGAAATTCCCTCTGCTTTTAAGTCAGTAGCTAAATCTTTCCAACAATTCCTCGACACCACCAGCCATGCCAGGCAACCAGAAAAGTTGTCATTTCAGTGAAGTTTTCAGGAAGACAACATCAGGTCACTGTACACGTAGAGAAACCAGATCCATAGATTGTTAATTGCCTACCAATTCAGTAGTTGCAGCAGCGAGCCCGGCCCTTAATCAAATTGGCCCACAGACAGAGCATCTGCCGTGGCGATTGGTAATGGGCAGTGTAATAGTCCTCCGTGCACCCATACTGGCAAAACTTCCAGCTGTGAGAATATTGGACAGGTTTAGAACTGTTGAACTGCTCAACCCACATTCCCATGCTGACATCCTCCATTTTGAATAACTGTCAGGGATTATAAGAGAACAATACGCTTAGGACAAAATCCTCCTTGCACTCTAAAGCCCTTGATCTTGCATTGACAGAATAATACGGAAAGAGTTTTGAGTTGCCACATACCCGGAGACTACGCTTGAGATGTTGAGATACAATATAATTTGCAATGTCACTGGAAATTATATACCCAGGTCCATTGGCATAAGGAGGATATATTGCTTCTGGCCATTCCTGTTTCACAACATTGTTTATCTTTCAGATACACAAGCAGAATGACAATTAAATTTATCTTGCTTAGAAATGGATGTAACCTTTTTAACAGAAGTTGATTGCTCTTTCTTTGGATCAACTCCAGTAAAACAGTCAAATCACATCTAGATTTCAGAAGGGATACTTTCATACCTTGAAGGAAACAGCCCACTTCCCAGTTCGAAGAGGTCTGTGCAAGAGGTTTAGATTTCCCATATAAAGGGATCTTTTGGGAGAGAATCCTTCAATTTGTTCAAGGACATTATCCACTCTAACAAAAGTATCATCATCAACTTTCATGATGTATGCAGCTGTTACATTTTGAACCTGCAGAAAACCATTAATGCCATGTTGGGGATAGATCAAAAGTGGAAGTTGATTAAGAGCTCATTGGCAGAGGATCAAGGAAAAAGTATAGAACTAAACTAACCCCATATTCACAGATGGCAATAGTTTTGAGTACGACTAGTTCATAACGATCCATAAATGGAATAATAACAATGTCACCAAAATAGGCAGCCTCTTTCTTCAAAACAGCATTAACCTCCTTCCTTGGATTCTGCATGTCATTTGTTACGTATGAGTAAAAATTCATCCATAAAACTTGTCGAAGCAAATCAACAGCAACAAAAAAATCGGAAGATTGAAATTTGTGTGCTTTTCATTTGTCCTTGTTCTGAAGGTGCTGACAGAATGAACTGAAATTTGTATGCTTTTCATATATGTACAGTCAGTTATTAAGTCATGGTACTTAATAGAGAATCAACAATTGATATGCATAGATTTGATGGTTGTATGCATTTTTCATACAAGAAAAGTTTTAGCATTAAAACAGGTTATAATCAATCCAGAGAACCACTAAACTCTCAAGTCAGCTCATTATCTGCATGGTCACCACCAAGTCACTGCTACTGCAAGAAAGGGTTTATTGTGACAAATTGGCATGTAACTCTAACATGCAAAACCACATCTGCCAAGAAAGTGCTATGGTTGGCTCTCATATCATATGTGCTGGTGAACGGTCATTTTAGAGGACCGAAATGAATTGATCAAATTAACAATTCTGTATCACCATTTAACAAGGCAACGGTGACAACTTGTCCCACAAGCACTGGTGCAGATTCTCTACTTGTATGCATAGAACAAGTAAGCTTTGCAAACATTTGATAGAATCAAAATTTTCCTGATAAGCTGGCAATTTCATAGGTCCAATATTAGCTAACTCCTTCCTGGGAAACTTATCATCTCCTCTCCCATAATTCAATCACAAGAGACAAGGAAAATGAGCCCATTGTTGAAAATTCATGATCTTTAAGTAGTTGAGACACTAAAAGGATACTTCTAACTTTTCACTTTCATATCACCTTCTATTTCAAGTTCTAACCAAAATTTCAGGTTCTAAGAATAATCTGTTCACAAATAGAAGTAACAAATGAACCTTTCACCACACTTGTCTACTACAGGAAAATCCAACAGACAAATTAACCCAGCAAGTTAGTGTCAAAATTATATCAGGCCTTTGTTCCTCAATCATAGAAAGCAAGCTTTCTTTTGAAATGCACCAATTTAGTGTCAAAATTATATCAGCAAGTTAGTGTCAGATTGTTCCTCAATCTGATAAAAGCAAGCTTTCTTTTGAAATGCACCAATGCAACTGCTTTCAATAGGATATATCAGATGAAGAAGAAAATTAAGGAAGCTTACCAGGGCAACGAAGAAGCGAACCACCACATTTGAGGACCTGACAGCTAAAGATTGCATCCAAGTTTTTCTAACAGCCATGCGTTCAGCAAAGTGATTGTTGGCGGAGAGAACCCCTATAAAAAGCTGAATACCATGATGGGGCAGAGGATGTGATTTCCACTCCTCAGAGAAACTCAATACCCTTTGGGGAGAAAAACTTGGATGAGAGGTTGGAAGAGAGGTGGCATGAACCGAATGTACATCCACATCACCTTTGATTGCCAACCCTGTTGCATCTTCCAAAGTAAAACCCTGAAATAACAGTAAGCATCAGATCACCAAAGGATTTCAAAGCAATGTAAGACAAAGAAGCACTTCAACAAATTCAATTTCTTACTTTTAATACTCTCAAGCATTTTCAATAGTGTTTATCATATTAATTGTCAAGTAAAATGAAAGATTTATGCTTATCACACTCAAAGAGTCCATTATCTATGGATAGAGGTCAAAGAAACAATGAGATCCTTCATCCGACTAGTGCAAATGTAAAAAGATTAAGGCTGGGCAATGCCATTTGCTATTTTAATAACCAGCCAGGTCTACACCTCTAAAAGTTTCCAACAGACTAGCAAACATCTCGTAAGAGAAAGAAGGAAAATAATGGTCTACTTACTTTCCTAGCTCCACAATTACCTCAGGAGCCAACTGCATCTGCATCAGACCTCTGTCTATTTGCGTCTTTCAGTAACAGCCTTATCATATACCATACTCCCACCTCATTAACCAGCAAATACAAATTTAATCTAATATATCTTCTAATATCCGGATTTCTGTCCCAAATGATATTTGACTTTATTTGGAGGGATATGGTCAGATCTCATATCTAGTGGTTATTCAAGTAAGCAACAGTAAGGTAATGACAACTCATGTGGTCAAAGGACAAATAACATTGGACCAACATTTTTCTGCATATAGTACTACATTTTAAAAAACCAATAAGAATTAACAGACATGAAGTGGTCCAACATGAGAGCCAACAAAGAATGACCAATAGTAACATACTAAGTTCAATGTACAGGCATTGCTCAATACAAAAGGAAAACATTCAACAGATCTTCAGAGGAAAACACCATTCACAAAATCATTCAAAAACATTTTCTCTCCATTTTGATAGTAGTTTTTTTTTGGAGGGGGGAGGGTCAACGCTATGGATCATGAGGTCAGCCAACTTATCAAATATCAGAACACCATATATCAGTCACCAAACGACTATTTCTAGAACAATTGCAAGCACCTCTATGGTATGGAAAAGGTTTGCAGAAAGTCATCATAAAGGAGCTGAAATGGAAACAACCACAGGGCCTTCTTGTAATTGTGACTAGCATACCGTGCGATATGGAAACGAGGTCACATGCCGACCCCCAACAATGATATGGTATCCCTCAACACCAGCACGAATAGTAAGCACAAACATCCGACCCTCCATAAATGGAAATGGCCAGGTCACTTCTGGAACTTTAGCACGCCCAATAAATCTCTCAAACCATGAAAAGATTTTGGACTCCTTTGAAATTTTGGACTCTTTTGAATCCACTATTTCATTTCGCATCCATTTTTCACATTTCAAGAAGCCGTCGACTGCCAAGAATATTTTGTTAGAAATCTGGAAGTTCAGATGGCAAATAAGCTAATATATCAATAAACAAAGGTTAGGGGAAAAAAAGGGAACAAAACAATAAACTCAAGCATCATCCAGAAGACAAATGCAATGCAAAGTTAAAAGATTCACGATGAATGACAAAGATTAGAAATAATGTACCCAAGGGGCAGAAAAACCAGGCATTCTTGCTGCAATATAAGAATGACCTAAAAACGAAGAAGGAACACACAATTCATCTGAACTCTCAAGCAAAATGAATGATGTGCACTTATATGGGCAACCTCTCGTTACAAACTTCTCACCAAAAAAAGGCACAAGAAAAAAAAAATAAAATTGAGAAGCCAATAGTACATGTGAGAAAACTGAAGGCTATATGATCACATGCAGTCAACAGTAGAAAATAGGTCAAAAGCCATTTCTTCTCCATCATTACTCTAGTCTGAACTAGGAGTAGATATGCATGAGTTTGGCTTGGAACAGAGAAGAGCTGCTCAAGGTTTGACTCGTATGGAGTTTGGCTTGGAAAGACAGATTCTGGCAGCTTGAGAGAGAACACGGACCTCTATCTTGCAGATATTCAGCACATGAGCTTGTTGAACTTAATGGAACTCCTTTTGCTTTTTCTTTAAACTTGATACTTTATAACCACCCCACAAAATAGGAAAATTTGATCACCTGCCCAAGCCTAGGAAATGCCTCAAAGACCCAGAAGTCAAAAACACATAAATACTGAAGAGTACTCCAGATTTAAACTGCTTTAGGGATCTTCCTTATGCAATCTAATCCTGATCTTCTATGATATCTCAGATATACTTTGACATCTACAGGTGGCATCCGTAAAGAAGACATGGAGCAATCTTCTTGACATTTGTTTGATATCAACAACCTGACTGCAGAAGGGCTGCTGTATACACTAACTAAATGCAAATATTTTTTGTTAAGATATGTAACAACATAATGAATGAGGGAAGAGAGGACTCGAGCTCCAACTCAAGTTGATATTGGCCCAAAAAGGACTAGAAAATGGGAACATTGTAGTATATGAAGCTGTTCTACCAACTGAACCAAATTTGAGCGCAACACTATATTTGGTCAATTTTAGGTTGAGTTCAAGTGTAGGAACCAAGTTGACCTTGATAACATAGATATAGGGCTTGAATTTGTCCAATATCAACCCTAATTTGGAAAAAAGAAGCAAAGCGTCTAACAAACATCTCAGAGTGAGTAATTTTCCTACAAAGAAAAAGCTAATTTGTTTGCATAATTAAAGTGTCAGCAGATTCTTTGCCATATATTGTCAAATACCAAGAGACTGAATCCACAAAACTAGGATTTTTACATTAAATCTATCCAACAAAACAACAGCATTTAGTGTTTGTGATTTTATCTTCACACATCAGGATGATTATAACCATATTCTGTATCTAACTATAGCGATCAAGAGATATTCTGCATCTAACTATAGCGATCAAGAGAACTCAAAATCAATTGTCTTCAGTTTTTGGTTCTTTTCCTTTTCCAATTTGTCCCTGGGGAAGGGACACTGTATTTAAATGAAGAGAGCATTCTATGAAAATCTAGATTCAATGCCTTACCTAGCATTTCGTCATCACTCTTGGATGGTAAACCATCACACCTTTGGGCGCTGCCCCAGTGCATCCTATAGCAGGTGTTGTGCTCAATTACTGGTCGATGGCTCCAATCTCCTCTCAGTCTAGGATTAAGATGTAAAATCTTTGGTGGGTCCTCTCCAACTACAGCCTTTAGTCCTTGCAATTCAACCATGAATTGTGAAACCAAAACCAGTGCATCACCAGCTCTTAATCTCGCCAGCTGAGGCACGTACTCCTGATGAGCTACACGTGGTGTTCCAATCACTGTGATTGAAGAACCTGCAGCAAGCCCACAAGGAAGGAACATGAGATTATCTCCCCTAGCCAATTCTTCTGCATTCACCGACACCCAAGAAGGACAGGACTCAGGCTTCCCCTCAAGTGTGGCATTCATCTCAATATCCTTCCCATCATGTTTACCTACTTCTTCCCATGCCTTCGTGCCTAATGACCAAGCCTCATCTGCCATTTTCTCTACTACGGAGAAATCACTTGTTCTGTTCCTACGCCTCAAAATTGCAGCAGCTATTCTACCATAATGAAGCGAAAGGGGGTTAACAGGTGTTGAACCACCTTTCTTCTCTTCTAAAGCTTCCTCACGCGGCATTGGAGGAGCATTTTGGTTCACATTGTTTTGTAGTATTCTATGAAAGCCATCCTTATAAGCAGAGCTCAGACGCGGTTTACTTAGTTCAGTATCTTCTTCAACCTCAACTCGCAGTCCCTCCTTACCCACATCATTACCGTTATTACTCAAAACTGCTGCACTCCCCAAAAACTTAGGGAACTTCAAGCATATGACAATCAGGTATAATGCAGCTAACCCCATTAACAAATGTGACAATTTGAACCTCCTTCCACTCTGAGATTCACTTCTGATCCTCTTCATCCTTCCCTACCCCACCCAACAAGCAGATAAAAATCCTCTGACCATGCATAAGTAACGTCACCTCATTTCTCACCCCAAAAACAACAAACATTAAAAGAAAAAAAAATCCCAGTCCTCAAAGCCTCAAACTTTCACACAAGATACCCACTTCATAAATATAAAAAGCATAAATTAAGATGAATAGAATCAGAAAATGCCTCAATAATAAGAGACTTATAGTTCAACAGCGAAAAAACTTTTAACCCACAAAAGACGGAACTCCAATTCGAAAAAATGCGGACTGATTTTGTGTGAAGAGTAACCAATTCCGACCACAAAAGGATCAGCACTGCACCATCGAACTGATTTTGCGTGAAGAGTAACCAATTGCGACAACAAAAGGATCAGCAGAGCACCAACTTGATCAGCATTGCAGGGCAAGATTAACCAATCAGAAGCCGAGGAAATCGAAATTTCTAAGCAATGATGAATGTAGACGAAACTATACGGAGATTACGTATACAAAATCATCCGAGAGGATTAATTGGCTGGATCTGATGGTGTTTAGAGGGAGGGACCCAACTGAGAAAAAGTGAAGAACCCTAGGCAGAAGAAAAAGGGATATTAGTGGAAAATAGGATGTCCGTGTGCATGTATGGAATTTTTTAAAATGACTTTCTTTTTTTGGTTTATTGGAGGTGGGGAATGATTTTATTTTAATTATTTTTCTTCCAATGGGGAAATAATAATATTCATTTTCATTTTTTGGAGTTTATATTTATATTTTGTTTTATGCTCGTATTAATTTCCTTTTTCAATTGGTAGAATTTATGGGCATGTGTTGGGCATGTGTATGATTGATGTATTTATTAGTACGATATTCATTCTCATTTTCATTTTTTTGGAGTTTTTATTTTTATTTATTTTATGCTCGCATTAATTTCCTTTTTGAATTGGTGGAATTTATGAGTATGTGTTGGGCATGTGTGTGATTGATGTATTTATTGGTGCAAAAATTCAAAATACAATCAAGATGTCTAGTACAAATCATCAACTTCCTCCTTATATATTTATATTTTTTTAACTCTCTCTGACTTATGAGTTGATTTCCATGATAATACTCATCTAAAATTATTTTTCCAGATAATTGGCTCCATTTGGACGATAAGTCTTTTATACGTTTATATAAAACTTTACTGTAGTTATATTCTCCAAAAACTAGTCCGCTCTTGTTTCTTTACCTTTATTTTTTTTCCGAAATGACAGTTATATTGATATGTTTAAAATTATATAGGTGAGTGAGTAAGGACTCAACTAAGTTTGGACCAAAGTCCAACCAACTTTACAAAAGTGCTTCTAGCACAGGAAGATGGGATTAACCCATTCTTCATCTAAGAAAATAGTTTGTGCATGTTTGCTAAGATTAACTATATTATCTAATCTGTTCTTATTTTCAAAACAAAAAAAGCACTATGAAAACAATAGCCCGAGTGACTTAATGTCAGCCAAAATTGTTGCTGCTCTACATGAACTGCATTCTTGTTCCTGAAGCAACTTAACTAGGTTCCTGTCTTCCTGTAATGCCATTATGCATGACCATTGTTGTTCCTCGGCTTTGATGAGTGCTAGTCTCGCTACTTCAGCTTCATCTAGTGTCCAATTCCTAGATTTCCTTTCTTTCATAGCCCAAGTGGCTTTTGGCATGGCAGATTGGTCTGTTGCTCCTGTCACCAAAGAGTTTTGCTATTGGTGTATTTGGACTTGGATTTTGATGCTCCTATTGCCCTCTTGAGTTGAAGCATGAGCTCTCTCTTTTGATATTGTTTCCTAAGTGCTCTTTTTCTGTAACTTAATTTTGATTGTTTATCACACTCCATCCATTCCAAATGAGCTTTCCAAGTAATTCTGTGTGGTTCTTTTTCTCATTGCTCGAAGTCTTTTTTGTTCCTTCTCAAATCTGCCAGAGTACACTGATGGTGAGGGGAATATGGCCATCTGTTCCTCTCTGTAAATGTGCTTCTGTGAGCCCAATCCACCTTTTTTTTTGCAACATCCTGTTAAATGGTTGATTCCATTCCAATTGATTGGGGACAATTTCCATATCTCCTGGGCTCTTTTGCATTTCAGTAGCACATGTTCCATTGTTTCTTGCTGTGCTTCACATCCCTTACATATGGGATTCCCCTGCTTAGTTTATCTGAAAATGAGTTGATTCACTGGCAAAATCTCATTTAGACACTTCCATACAAATAGCTTTAATTTGTGTTTAACATTCTACTCCCACTGTGCCTTCCAAATCCTTTGTTTGGACTATCATAATTGGTTCCTGCTCCACTAGTCACCTGTTCTTCCTTCTCTCTTCCTACTCGTTTTAGCTTCTTGTATCCTAATTGAACTATCTATTTCACATGCTTGGAGTGTTTCCAGTAAACTTGATCCTCCATTTCAACCGCATTGATTGAAATTTTTAGAATGTTTTTTGCATCCTCTTTATTGAAGGTCCTAAAGATCAGTTGTCTATTCCATCTGCCTTCCATGGTCAAATCTGAAACTTTTTGAGCTATGTAGTTCCATAGTCTTATTGACGTAAGCCTCCGTTTCTCATTGTCAGGTATCCAGCCATCTTCCTAGATTCTTGTCCCCTTCCTATTGCCAATTCTTTTCCTTATTCCTTCCTTTAGAATAGATCTTGCACTAATGATGCTCTGCCAAATCCACAAGGCATTCTTTGGAACTTTGCAGTTGAAGACTGAACTTTTGGAGTAATACCTTCCCTTCATAACTTTGCTGACTAGTAAATTTGGTTGTGTGATTATTCTCGAAATCTGTTTGGTCAGTAGTGCTTTGTTGAAGTGCTACAGATCTTTGAATCCCAGTCCTCCTTTCTCCTTGTCCTTTGTGAGCTCTTTCCATTTCATCTAGTGCATTTTTTTCCTTCCTTTTGCTTCTTCCCACCAGTAGTTTTACATTTCAGAAGTGATTTCTTTACAGAGATTGCAAGGTAGTTTAAAGCTAGAAATGGCATATGTAGGCATGGCTATGGAAACTGCTTTAAGGAGGACTTTCTTTCCTGCACTACTCAACATTCCATTCTTCCAGCTTTGCACCTTCTTGCTCAGATTACTCCTGATGTATCCAACGATTTGCTGCTTTGATTTGGAGATTATAATAGGTGAATCCAAATAATTCCCCTGCTTAGCTTGCTATATATCTCTCATCACCCCACGTATTCTAAAGAATACTGATGACTTTTCCATATTGATTAATTGGCATGATGCTTCTTTATACCTTTTTAAGATCCTTATCAATTGGTCTACTCCCTCGTTATTGGCTTTGAAAAGGATTACTGAGTTGTCAGCAAAGAACAAATGAGTGATTTTTGGACCATTTCTGCTCACTCTCATCCCAACAATTGTTTTTGCTTGTGCGGCTCTATAGAGTAGGTTCGAGAGACCCTCAGAACATAACGGAAATAGGTAAGATGATAATGGATCACCTTACCTCAAGCCCCTATATGGCTTTATGTACTCTCTATGCTTCCTATTTATGTTGAATGAGTAGGTTACTGTGCTTATGCATTCCATTATCCAATTGATCCAAGTATTGCAAAACTTTTCCATAATGGCCTTGAGGAATGACAATTCAACCTTCTCATTGGCTTTAAACATGTCCAGTTTCACTGCCATATAGCCCTCTTTACCATGTCTCTTATTTTATAAGAAATGCAAGAATTCATGAGCTATGGTGAAATTATCTAAGATTTGCCTGTCGGGGAGAAAAGCTAAGTGATTTTTGCTCATGCATCTGCTAAGAAAAGGTTTCAATCTATCAACAAGAATCTTAGTTATGGCTTTATAGGCTACTTGACACAGGATTATAGGCCTGTAGTATTTGAGATTAGAGGGATAGTCTACTTTGAGGATAAGAGAGATGACAATGTGATTGATTGCTTTAAGCAAAGACCTCTATGAAAAAAAATCTTTGATTGCATTTACCAAATCAGTTTTGACAATGTCCCAGAATTTTTGGAAAAAGAGAGGGGACATGCAATCACTACTTGGTGCTTTGTTAGGATCCATAGAGGAAAAAAACAAATTTTACTCCTCTTCCTTAATAAGCTTAATTAATTCCTCATTCATATGTACAGTTATTGACGTAGGAATCCTTTCTAGGATCTCACTGTAACTACTAGGAGATGAGGAAGCAAACAACTAGCTGTAGTATTCTGCAATTTCACAACCTAGTTCTGAATCATTTTCAGTCCAACTTCCATTTGCTTTTTCCAAATTTTGCAATGTATTCCTTTTCCTTCTCTCTTTAACAACTGCATGGAAGTATTTGAGTGTTCTTATCCCCCTCATGTAGCCATTTAATCTTGTTTTTTGACTCCATTACACCTCCTCTTCCTCATACACCTCTTTTGGTTACTTTTTCAGTGACTGCATTTTCTGTCTTTTCATTACTGCATCTGAATCCCTCACAGAATTGAGTTGTTTCTTCAGTGAGTTGAACTTTTTTCTTGAGTTTCCCTATCTACTGTTGTTCCACTTGAGGAGAGCAACCCTGCAGCTTCTTATTATTGGTTCACCTTGTACCATTTTGTCCTAGAATGTTGTTCTTCTCATGCTATTCTGATTACCTCTCATGCTCCTTCATGTTGAACCCATCTTTTGTCAAAGTAGAACCTTTTCTTCTTCCTCATATCCACAGGCAATGTTTCTAGCAGCAACATATTGTGATCTGAGGCATGTGATTCATTATGTGAACATTTGGCATTTTCAAACAATTGAGGCCAACCTTCGCTACATAGCCCTCTATCAAGTCTCTGCATTATTTCTCCACTTCCTTTCCAGTTATTACACCATGTCCAAGGTTTTCTATTATATCTTACATCTAGCAGCTGATTGTCATCAATCAATTGTTTGAAATCCTGGAAGCTTTTCTTCTCTCTTGGTCTTCCCTCCAATTTTTCTTCACTAGAGAGTATATTATTGAAATCACCCATTATTAACCAACTTGTGCCCCACAGTTGCTGCCTTCTACTTGGCAATCTCCCATTGCCTTTTCCTAACTTGGTCATCACAATTGGCATAGATTTCTATGAACCATCATTTGTCATTGGCTTCTTGATCCTCAATCTGAACTTTTATTATAAATGATGATGTCTGAATCTCAATTTTCTTGATCTCATTATTCCACAATAGGGCCATCCTATCAGCCTTGTTGAGTGCTTCCATCACAAAAATATTATCAAACTGTAGAGATTTTTTGATTTTTTTCATGTATTCATTTTTGTTTTTGGTTTCACAAAAAAAGATCAAAATGGGGGAGAGGAGTTTTGATTCCTCCTTCAGACGGGGAACTTTCAAGAAGCTCCTTGCACCTTGGCAGTTCCATACCATGATTCTCATGTTTGTTTGAGAGACTAGGTTGGGTTGGTCTCTCTTCTCTCATTTGTTGAGCTGCAACTCTGTTTAGTACTAAATGCCTTGTTCTTCTTCACAGGGTTTTCTATGTGCTCACATTCTACCATTTCCTCATCTACCATCTGCAGTTTTCTCTTAGCATTGGCCCCTTGGTCAACTTCATTCTGTGTCAAAGGTTTAAGAGGTTATCTTCTTTTTATTGCAGTTCTCCTACCACCCCTGATTCTTTT